TTTTATACTCGCAAGACGTACTGAAGCGCATTATACACTGACGATTTTTACGAGGGAGCAAAATGTCAGAAGGGACTCTCATTTCCCGGCCGGTGGGTATCTTGAATGGTGAGAATCCACTTGAGGTGTGAGCGGAGGCTCGGTAAGCGAAGAAGATCCATCCTGGGTATAGATCCCAATTTTGGGCTGCACCCCTTTGCTAAAGGCCATCAAGAAGTTGACAAGTGTGCGATTTGTATGAAATCAGACACGCCATGTTGGCAGATCCAGTGATTTAAGAATGCAGTCGCTCCTCTCTCGGCTTCCGCGACCTTGGTGAAATAGTCTATTATCATCAAAATATAACCGTTCCCTCTCGGAGTCATGGCAAGCGGACCTATGATATCTATGCCTACTTGCTCCCCTGGAAAGACCATGGATATCGGCTGCAGAGGGGCTACCGCCATGCGAGTTGAGTTCTTCAAGCTGATACAGGTGACGCATGCGCGAAAAAATCTGAAACGTCTGATGTCAGCGAGGACCACCAGGGCGAGGGCGTCTAGCATCTTGCTGTCCCCCACATGGCCAAGTTGCTCATGCAAATCCAAAAGCGATGTCTCCACCAAGGAACCCGCTACTACGAGGCATTTAGGGCCTGCAGCGTTGTCGTCTTTGTACCAATATGATATCATCTTCTAAAGAGAATTTTTCTCATTTCTGTCATATTTGCTTGGCTCTCTTGCTCGCCAAACTCATTCCCTTAACTGTGGGCTTGGCTGAAGGCGTCCTTGGTCTTTCATAAACTAAAGCTGTATGGGGATCCCAGCTATGGGTGTTTCTCCAGTAATGCGAAGTAGGCTCGCCCAATAACAGCACACCTACTGTGTCGCCATCCGTGGACGGGGAAAAGGTCTCCGTGACAGAGCATCCGCATTGCCGTGAGAGCTTCTTTTCCTATATTGCACGATAAAATCATTTTCCGATCGACCTCCTTCATCGCCTTTAACCATGTCAGTGATTGATGGTTCGTCCTTACAACAAACTGCTTTTCTAAAACGTAGTGCTTAAAGTGCCAGACCATTGTATAAATAGCGAAAAGTTTCCGTTTCATTGCACTCTTCTGTATCATCTTTTTGCTTAGGAGTGAGCTGGCATACGCGATCACATGTTATCTCCCGTATTTGTCTCTTTGGGATAGAACTCCACCCACCGCCTCATCGCTTGCGTCTGTATCCAGCACGAAAGAAGGAGCCTCGGCATTAAAGCTTCGTAAAGTCAAGATCGGTGTCGCGCAGAGAGCACGCTTCAACTCCTTAAACGCTTCTGTGTGTTCGTTTTCCCAAAGAAACTTCTTTTCGCCTGTTTCACTGTCAACTTGTATAGAGGACTTGCGATCTTGGCGAACTCTTTTACAAAGAGCCAATAATAGTTGGCCAAATCAAGGAGGCTGCAAAGTTCCGTTTGATTTGTAGGTGTCGGTCAAGTCCTTACTTCTCTTGTTCTGTCTTCCGTGACCGCCATCCCATCTGCAGACATCTTGTGTTCCAGGAACGCGACCGACTTTTGGAGGAAACTGCATTTCTTCGGATTCAGCGTCAGACCTGCTTCCCGAAGTCGATCCAGCACTAATCGGAGATAGGAGTTATGTCGTTTGATGTCTTTCCCGAAAACGAGAATATCGTCCAGATAGATAATGCAGTGCTTCGGGAATAGACCACGCAATACCGTCTGTATAAGTCGCTGAAAGGTAGCTGCTGCATTTCAAAGCCCAAAAAGCATCGTTTGGAAATCATATAGTCTATTTGGCACAACGAAGGCCGTTTTTCTCGATTCTTCTCCGCTACCTCCACCTGCAAGCAGCCGGACTTCAGATCCAATGTCGAGAACCACTTCGCTCCTTGCAGAGAGTCCAACGAGTCGTTAATGTGGGGTAGACGTAATGCGATGGGGGAGGCCTAGAGTGACTGGGACGGCCTGACAACGTTATCGCGCAGCTTCTCGTCAATCAATCGATGTACTCCGCCTTGGAGGGGTGGTGGCATGGGTCTAGGGAGCTGCCAGACCGGTTTGACCGCACCAGTATTGCTCCTGTGTTTGACCAAGTTTGATCGTTTAAGTTCCAGGCCCTCCCAGGAGAACATTTGTGAGTAATTCTTCAGGATTGATTGCAGTTCCCTCCTCACAGCCTCAGTAACCTGTTTTATTTGAGCGCAGAGATAGTTTAGATTGGTTCCGAGGACGGCAAGAGAGACAAAAGGGATCTGCATATATCATATGCATCGTTCTTTGGCTTAGGGATCGAACACTTCTTCTTGGACCTTCGATGGGTGGTGAGCATGCCTGTATCGAAGTTCACAGTCGCCAGGGACTGGCGTAAGAAGTCGGCTCCTAGCAGTACGTCCCAGGAAAGTTCTGGACACAGTACAAGTTTTACCTCTCAGCTATCCTTCCCGATTGAGACTGATAGATGTTTTTCCCATTACCGAGATTGCTCTTCCTTTTGCAGAGCGTAGTAAGGTAGCCGGTGGGGTAATATCAACCTTGCTGCAAACCATGGCTTGTAGGTTTAGTAGGGAATGGGCTACCCCCGAGTCCAGAAGGAATGAGCTGTGTGACGTTCTATCTTGCTCCGTACACGTATACGACAAAGAAAATTCTGCCTTACTTTGTACTGAGGGACCGCTTCGGAGCGCGCATTTGCCAGCCAGTAGTTGGTCGGGTCCTTTGAGAATTGGAGCTCCTGGCACTTGGAGACTGCCATGTCGATCGGACAGCTCAATCGGCTGGTTCTCATGTGCACCAGTTGTTCTGCCAAGGCGGGTGGATGCAAACCCATTTTGAACTGGGCCGCTATACACGAGGCAACCCGCAGGGGACAGCAATCCTTGAATGCCTGTTTGGTTAATAATTGGGGATTCCCTGCGAAGCCTTCATCATTCTCGGCAAGCTTTTGTAGCCGGTGGAAAACATTTGAAGCCAAGAATTCTTCCTTCTGAAGGGACATCACTTTGACAAGAACCTCACAGCACCCTTCTATATCCGAGGAAAGCGTGATACCCGCATCCATTGCTTCGAGACGTAGGTCTTAGGGCAAGACGCAAGGTAACAAGGGCACTCTCCGTGCAGGGTCGTAGAGCTTGAGCTCTGCCTCTGTAAAAAAAGCCAGTCATCGAGATCTGTGCCTTCTTTGAAGGGAGAGATATCGACTAGCGCTGCCACCAGTGTAGAAGCTGCCTGCCTACCCTCATGCCCTTTAGTCGCGGACTTCAAGAGAGGGTTAGTTGCAGTCGATTTATCAGGCATTAAGTACAGGAGGAATGGGGATGGGAGTATAAATGAGCCGAATAGCCGACACTACCCGGAGAGGGATTCCTCACGGTCCTCGCGCACGGGATTCGCGCCCGTTTTCGGTTCCTGCCTCTCTCCTATCAAGGTCAGCTTAAACACTAGTATATATTACACTGCGCCGTAAGGTATTGGATGCTGCTATCCAAACTGGCTTACTTAAAGAAAGAACTATATTTAGCTTTAGCCCTTTTCCACCGGAAATCTATAGGGGAGTCTCCAGTTTCTGGCTTAACGAGGCATTATGAAGTTATGCCCTCTCCGAGTTGCCGCATAGGCATCTGCCCTTTTTAAAAGGGACTTCCTACCTCCCCCCATCTCGATGAAAATATGGAGACTGAATCGGCTCAGCTATGTAACAGCTGTCAAATGTCAGGATCCGCAACTTTAAACTATCTAACATCCACTTGTATCTCCGGACGTCTAAAGGATGTCGAAACCCCTATAAGCAATTACGCACGCATGCAAGTTATGCCCGAAAATTAAGTAAGTCTCACTTCTTGTTCTATTGCCTACTGCCTTACGGAGCTTACGCGTTCATGAGGGCATGAGACTATAGAAGATCTATTCAGGCAGTTTTATCCTGGATTCTGGGGTGACCTGATCTTTGCTAACTCCACGAGCTTTTAGAGCCATGTGTAACGCTATGCAGAACTCTCTTTCAACTACGAGGCTACGCTTCGCAGAAGGAAGGGAAATTTTGGCAAAAAGAGAAGCTTTCATGGGGATAGTAGATTCTGGCTCATGCCCAGATCTCGCTTGAAACGTTATATAAGGTGCCGACACAAGGGATCAAAGGCTTTCGAAAAAGCGTATTTACAACTCAAAAATTCACCAGTAAATGTGGCATGACTTGCTAGAAATAATGCAGACGACATCTGTAGGTCTCGGAATTTCTACCACCCCTGGAGCAAGGTTTCCTGGTGCGTAGTTAAGCTCATCTCACTCACGAACTATCTGGTCCGAAAAACACCCTAATGATGATCCACTATCGCAAACTCGGTCCATGCACCTGTAACTCTCAGTAGGCAATGAAGATGAAGTTTACGTGCTGGCATAGAAAATGGAGTCCCATGGGCAATCTAGAAGAAATGTTACAGACTTGCACTGGGGACGATGCTCAAAAGAGAAAGGGACTGTACAGTATATATAAGTTTTTTTAAATTTAACTTTGCAGAAGAAAGGCGGAAATGTAACGCAAACCCCTGTGTTAGAGGAGCATGCAGATCCTTCCTCGATTACGAAGACGGTGGAGGGCATGAAGAGTAAAGTGATTTCATGTCGCGAATACTTGTACAAAAAATGAAAAAAACATCATGGACAGCATGAAGATCCTATGATTCAAGAGCATTCAAAAAGGACAAGCTCAATTCGGTGACGAAATTGGTGAATGAAGCAGTGGTCAATGCAGGTGGGTGGCAGCCAAGACTCGGCGAAGGTAAGGCCATCAGAGCTATCCTTGTATAAGAACTTCAACTGTTTGCCAGCTCACGCTTAAAGGCCACATTTAAAGCAAAAATCTTAAAGCAAGAATGGTAATAAATAGCACTATAGGATTTGCCTTACATGCTTCTTTGCTAGAGTAAAGATATGAATGCTGCATATGAAGTCAGTTTTAGCTCACGTAACGCAGGGTGGGTCTTTTGATGCGTTGGGTCCCTTTGCGCGTGCTCATGATGAGTAAAATCAGGGATTCTAGCTTACATGAAGAATTCCAGGATGATATAAGGTAAGCTCTTTCGTCTAATTTGCTTTTTAGCACCAACATTTGCGATGATGAGACATTTACTTCGTGTAAGCATGTGGTAGTCTCATTTTCTCAGTCATGCCCCAAATGGCCAACCAGCTCTCTAGAGAAGAAATAGCTTTGCGGAACGAAATGAAGTTACTAAAACAGGCAGTAGTGCATGTATTTTTATAGTCTGTAGAAAAAGCTCCTCAGTGATCTGAATCAGGAATTGGCTTCCCAGCGTATTAAGCCTGAATCACAAACGAAGTGTAAGTTATTCAACGGTCCCTTCACGTATACTAGCCTCCAGAACTACGGAGCAAGCAAAAGAAGAAGCAATGAAGTTGTTGAAATCCGGGGCGATATCATTTGACACAGGAAATGAGCGACATATCTTCAAACGAAAACTGAAGGAATCGGACAGTGGTGATTCTGAGGATATTCCAGGTCTGTAGCTACCTTTCTCCTTTATCCTCATCTATGATAGAACTTGGAAAGGGCAGAAAACTCAGCCTATACGACAACTTTGTTGCCGGCGATCGAATCAATCCTATCATCTCCTCACCGAACAAGCAAAAGTCGTCATCATCTCATGACGGTCCATCGGACAGTCATCATGATTCCACTACGCGGAACTCTCTGCATAGGTTCGGTTCATCCGACTTTGAGGGAGAAGTTAGGAAGGGTATGGGGGGGTCTACCATCTACATCAGTTTCAATAATATCAACGAGGCGAATGTACGTGAAATCCTGGAACCCTACGGTCCCATTTTGAATATCCGAATTGACGAAAAAAAGTGGTGAGACTTGATTTAAAAGCTTTTACCAATACATTCTTGTGTTCGCCGTTACTGTTTGCGCCAATTATTGCATGAACTGATCCATTTGGAAATGAAAGGATAGGTTCGGTTATCCCGTCTTAGTGCATACGTTTAAGTTTTGGCCAATACTGATCACCTTAATAGAGTTGTTATTCATTTCCATTTTTCAATTTCAGTTATGGATTTGTTACTTTGAAATCTCATGAAATTGCCGAGAAGGCCCTTCAGGTTAGTTTTCTGCTGTCTAACTTTCTTTTTTCAAAGCTGGGATTTTACCATCATCTTTCACTTTAGCTGGATCGGACAAGATTTAACAATAATCGTTTACGCGTGAACTATGCCAGGCGTCAGCATCGTATCCATGATGGTAAGTTCGAGAATATCATTGAGCGCTCATCCTTGGGATCTACACCTAGGGGTAATTTATTTTCATGCTTCTGAAAACAATCAAAACTTTCGTTGTTGGTGCCTTAAATGGAACTAGTTGCTTTGTGACAGCGCGTTTTTTTGGTCGCATGCGTCGATTCATACTTTAATGGGGTCACTGGCCAATAATTCGTCTTCAGCTTCTTTTTTTCTCCGTGCTTATCTCCTCCTCTTCATCGACCTACATTTCGCTGCGTCTATAAGAACATCTGCACATTATTGAGAAGGGAACTAGATTTGATTAAACTCGTTGGTATCTCCGGCAGTAGTTATTATTTGGTGAGATCTGCTCCGTGTTTGTGGAGATTTCTACAGCATTCAAAGGCAGCTGTGTAAATAGAGTTTCTCTGCAGTTGCTTGATCCCTCTAGACGCATGTTGCATTTTTTTCCAATTTATTTCCAATCTTCAAACCCTGTCATCTGATAATTGCTTCTATTTTCCGCCCTCACTATTATCGGCAAATTTCCTTCTTATGTTCGCACCTGTAAAATGTAGTGTTTGAAAGCTTGATTTGTCTAAGAAGGAATTGGTACTTGTTTCTCGACTATAATCATGCTTATTTTTGGGGGTGTAATGGAAAGCCGTTATAGGGCGCTAAAATATCCCTCCAACCCACGTTCCATTATGCTATAGAAGAAGAGAAGAATAGTAATTTCTACCTCAACTGATTGTCTGCAATTTCTGTCATCATCTCCATGGCACGCAGAAGGATAGAAAGGGCTTAAACCCGAAATTAATCAACCAAGGCTAGTACAATAACCTTCCACTATACTCCTCTGGTCTGGGCAGATCAATGATCTTGCAGGGACGGCAATCGGCACTATATCCGTCCGAGGCACGTAACAGTATTCGTGAAAACCCTGGAGGAATTTGGAAATTTTTATCCTCCCGACGGTCTTGCGTTACTACTGGGCAGGTAGGGGGATTGGGTTCAAGGGGGCTGACGAACTCCATGCCGTCACGTGCTGCCGTCTGCATCACTCGTCCAAGCTGACGGTTTGTGTCCCTCTGGCGTATGTGTCCATACGCCGAGTAACGCTCCTCACACCATGGACCTCCTACCGTGTTGACGGGGCATATTTCAGTAGAGGCGGTGCGGCTACGTCGACAGCGCATGTATTTTTCCACCCAATGCGCCTCATGACGCAGCATTGCCTGAGATACAGTGGGAAGGATGCGGCGGTGTGAGGTCAGGGGTAGGCACGCGTAGTTTCGAGGTAAGCTGAGGGTGTTAGCGGCGAAAAAATCAATCCACGGCTGCTCCACCTCGTTGACGTGAATATGTGCTGGTACCACATGGCTCTCCATGTTCCGCTTAATTTGGTAATCAGTAAAGAATGGCTCATGACCTCTGTGCAGCATCGTTTCTTCGGTTTCTGCTTCGATTTTCTCGATCGCTCTCCAACTCTTCCTCTTGCCCCAAATAACGTCCTTTCGTTGCTTGAATTTCCTCTTTCGTGTCGTGGATAGAGTATTGATTTGCCTTCTTCGAAGTTGCGTGCATATGGTTAGATTTTGAAAGATTCATTTTTGCGTCTCCAATTCATTTAACAAGGTTTTTAGTGAATTTGGAAGGGATCAGACCTATCTCCGTTCAGAGTAGGGTTCAAATTGTTTGAAAGCTTTGTTTAATCCTTCGATGGAATCCTACCTTTATCCATTGAGCATAACGTTTCATGCTGTCTTAGGTCTAACCATTGTTTCCTCCTGTTAAATTTTGCAAAGGTTATGTTTTCTACCAAAAGCCAATCTCAATTCGTGTATGGCGTGGTGAACCACTTAAGGGCGAAATTTCCTCTGTGTTGGTTCAATGGATTGTTTGCATGAGAGCATTCATTCTCCATCCTTTTATCAATCATTCGCTCAAAGAATCGTCAAGTTTAACCTTCTATATTGCCCTTCTAAAACTAGAGATTTCTCTTTCGAGTTGAGTACTACAGTCGAAATTTGGGAGGATGTTGCTGTCGACAGGTTCATTTGCTTATGTAGTTCAACATGCTTTCCTTAGAGGTCTTTTACCTGAACTGGAATTCTGGGAGCTAAGCTGATCACATTTGAGGCTTTTACTATGCCCATGGCTGGGACACTGTGATGTCACTCATGTTACTGACGTTATGAGCATCCCTCAGTCCTCCATTTTATTTAAAATGATTGCGAGTCTGCCTTCGGCCTCGCATTATTTCTATGGCTTTAGCGTTGTTAAGAAATTATTTAGTTCTTTACTTCCACACTCTGAGAAGAGAGGAAGCTCGCAGTATTTTAGTTGCAGCATTAGATTTCCACTTACAAACTGGAATTTGCACTTATTTGACTTGGTGCACAAAGGCGTCCTGATTTAGATACTGATAGATGTGGGGCACCGTCTCATTTTTTTCCTTCATTAGGTGGAGAAAATGAAGTTCTTGTGTACGCAAATATACGATCTAAGCCAAATAAGATTCCTTTCAATGTCGGCCTTATAGAGCTTTATATTTTTTATCAGGTTCTCTTGGGATAAAATCGATCATTGCATTCCAGATCTTTCATCTTTCTGATAGGATACTAACATTCTCTTTCCACAAACTGAGAGGTCTAACTGACTCTCAGAACAGGCACGTTCTACACCTATTTTATTGGTCGACACATTTGCGACACATTGCACTGCAGTCAGCTGTCACGGTCTTTTTGAGATGCTGTGCACTTACCTACATTGCTTTGTGCTTGTTTCAGGAAGAGGAAACGACAATCAACCACCACTAATGGCCCCCCAATCATCTCCCAATCGTACTGATAAGGCTTCATCCGCTCCTGCTTCAGCCTTCCTCACGTCGGATCGAAATCTCGTCAACTACTCCGATGTCGATTACTGACATTATTCTCTCCCTTACTGTGTGTAATCCCGTACATTTTGTACAAAAAAATTTTGCCTACAATACCGCTATCTTAGTGTGAACTTTTAGGCTGAGATGATGCCTGATTATGATGCACTTTTCCAAACGGGAGAAGCTTCCATGATATCTGTCTCGACATGGATTTGTCCAATTGCATGCCATTGTCCTTCCATATACCCACTTTTACTATTCAGCGCAATGTTCTGCCACCTGGTTGTGCGGTGGGGTTGTCGTTTTCCTCATCTACTGAACACGTTCCGCACCTTTTCCACGAAGAGCTCCCCGGTATGCGTGGATGTCTACGTGTCGGCGGACCGTACCAAGTTCTACAGGTCCTTAGGTCTCTTTTGCCTCGCTCAAGGCTCTGTATGGCTTGCCCTTGGTCAATACCTTCTGTTAATGCGTGACAAACCAGTGACGTGGGAAGTCGCGAAGAGAGATGCCTGTGAGTTCACTCGGCTTCTTGTCGCTAAGCTGCAATCATGGATGCCTGACGCTGTCGACAAGGTCGTTTTTCAGTCCAACAAGGCCCCACAAATGGAAGAAAATGTGGTGAAGGCGGCGGAAGTGGCTGATGCTAGAGTTAATGGTACGAAGAATAAAGAGACAAAGACGTATATGGAGTCTAGAGCGGATAGGATGAGCAGGGCAACGACTGAAGAAGGCGACGAGGCTAGTCAGAAGGAGCGGGCTCAAGCAAAGCAACTAGTGCCTTATCTCTGTTTCATCATGGGTGCGTCAGCTCCCGCCACTAACTGAAATTTCTATTTTACATGCTTTCTGTTCATTGGCAGTTCTGAAAGTTCAAGTTTCATTGCTGAAGGGGCTCATTCTCACTTGTATGCACTCATGTCACTTTTTTTACGGGAAAGATGCTAAGATATACTAAATTGCCACAGCAATGTCCCCAAATCGTACGATCAATTAACTGATGTTTTATATGCCAGTGCAAGTGCAAACAGATGTTTGAGTCTAACATCCCTCATTTTGAATAGGCGCCTTCACTCTCTTCGTGGGTGGTTTTGTTCCACGCCGTGTGATTCGCCGTGTCTCGCTGTTTCAGTGGAAGTCAGCGCAGGATGGCGCTGATTATCCTAATAATCCGATGATGAGAGTGAACACCTACGGTTGGTTTGGATTATTCCCCAGACGCGGAGCACTGTTTGCCGCACGGATGAACAACATCCGGGCCACCGCGGAATACCGTGAGGGCAACAGGTTTATGAATCTCATCATTGTAGGGCGACCCTTTGCTTTCTACTTGGAGCGTCTTGAGGCTGAATTCGCCCTGCCGGAATACTTTGAACTCCTCAATTCCAAGGCATTCTTGAAGTAAAAACTGAAGTTCTGTGTGCATTTGGCATTTAAAATGTCATGAAGTGGTAGTGTCATATTTCGAAGGTGGCGATTTGTGATAGTAAGGTATTGCAGTATTCTATTGCATTGTGTGAAGTCGTGTAGTTGTGATGAGTAAGTGTTGTAAGGAGGGTGCTACCGGCTCCGTATAAGGGACCAAAAGTGAGGGAAGAAAACATCACCTTTAAGGCGCCTTAGCGACTTAAGTACAAAAGGAATTCTACGCAGATGGAACACCTATTTTTGAGGTGTTTCAACCTGTTAGCGTGTGAGCAGGCCCCTTAAGATCCAGATCTACTACGTGAGTAGAGACAGACGTCAAAAGTGGATACACCTATCAAGTTGAAAAGACACACGGATTGGACCCGAAAGCTGTCCATTCATTAATCTCCACACCCTTTCACACGAGTGTAAGATCACTCGATACAGTTGAAAGCGTGTACTAACGTCACGATGGCATTCACTTCCGGAGCTGCTAGACCAGATCCCCCACGAGTTCACAGCGTTGACACTGCCTTATGCCACCAACACATACCGGTCACGACCTTTGAGCACACCTTACAATTCCACTTTTAACGCCACCACGGTGAGGTTTAATGTTATCCTCTTATAGCTTAAAATCAAACTCAAAAACGTCAATCTTCAGTGTAAAACTGAGACAGATGACGATGCTGGAAGACATATCAGTATATTTGTTTGCAAAGGGTTTTGCAGAACTCTCGCCACGGAGTTACAACTAATGACTATCACTTCTCCCATTTAGACAATGGGAATTCACGTTATGGCCTCATCGCCATCAGTGACGTATAGATGATGTCGTCACTTTTCTTGGATCAACTATGTAAAATGGTAAACGTTAACATTCCGATTAAAAGAGACTTTCCTTTTATCGAAAAATGTATTTACAAGTACGCTGCAGCACCTTACACTACGGTCTGTTAGCGCCAAACCAGTACACCATATACTCAGTACGCGAAACTGAGACTACGCTGACGCACAAATACATAGAAATAGCTAACATACTAAATCACAACTATATGACGGATTATCACAGCGGGACAACAAGGAAAGAGGAGGAAGTTTGCAGCTGCTGTCGTCAGGGCATGGGGAAGAATAGGTGGGCAGCTACATCAATATTGACGCAGCCCAAAGCTTGTATCGATTGCGATGGGGTCAATGGTGGACTCGAATTCGGTCAACAGTTCGTGAGGATTAATGGGCTCAGCCATCGAAGGCATCTCCTAGCAGAGCACGAAAAATACAAGCAAGGAGAAATTATTTCATTACTACACAGATGGTACCCTTCCGTTTGAACACAACACCGTTCTGTCGAGACAGAAACTGACCGTCCCTCCCTCCACATAGAAATGCTCTTCCAATCAGTCGCATCGTTCTTGATGCAAACTGAGACAAAAATCACGACCTTGAGGGACAAGGTGTTTTGATCAGCACGTCCCATTTCCATTCTTTTAGCTGAAGGTTAGAAGGTTTACATAACCTTTCTACCATATCTACTCAGATCTTATAATCGTGATCACCCGCTGCCCACCTTGCCAATAAAGCCACTCAAATGATTGCGATGGCCGCCAAAACTCAAGTACGATCGTTAGTTCATCGACAGCAAGACATGCAGCCGTTCACTAACAATGAAAGAACGCACCTTGTTTGTGTTAAAAATGAACCTGCCAGCAGTGATAACCCGACCAAACACTTAAAGCGAATGACCGAGGCCAATTTAACCGGAACCTCTAGGAATACTTCGTCCCCTACTAGATAAAAAAGCAAATTAGAACTAACCGCTCGCTTGAGCTTATCAGCCCGCTTTCGAAGTTCAAGATTGCGCCGCTTTTCATCCTCAACCCGCCTAGCCTCTGACTCTTTACGACGTTCATTTTCCTTTGCCTGATTCTGCTCTCGCTGCCGTTGCAGCGCCTCCTCACGCTCCCTCGCAGCCCGTTCCTCTGCCATTTTTGAGGTCCACTGTGACTGGCGTTTCGCTTCACGAACAATTTGTAGAGCCGCAGTGTTTTCGTCGAGAAACTTACGTTGGATTCCACCACCCTTGTTGTCTGTAGAGTCTACCAGCGAAATGGAGCTTGATACAGCTGGCAAGCCCAACTGTGAGGTGGATGAAGGTAAGACGGCAGCCTTGGAGATGGAAGAAGCCGGTACAGCAGTATCAGCAATTGGGTGACCAGTTTTTTGTCCGTGCTCCTGTCTCGACTGTTTCCTATCGCAGGCCCAAGCAGGATGTGGCAATTGGTCGATCCCTTCGTAGTCCGAATCAGAAGAATCCTCATTTTGTAGCTGCTGGGATGCCCGCTGCTGATGATGGGTGGACGGTGGTCCAGAACCAGAAGAGGCAGAGTCGGGAGTAACATGTTTAGAGGGAGCGTGAGGAGGAAGAGCACAGGGGGCAAGGCCGACGACGCCTGATGGCGCCGCGGGAGAGGGCCGGGTCGTCAGCATCTCTTGATGAGAGCTGAAATGTGACCCGCCAACATTCGAATACCTCATGGACGCTGCTGATTCATGGACTAGCAGTTTGACAGTGTTTGAGTGGCCACCGCCACCCACATTATGACGCTGGCAGGAAGCCTGACCACCATCGCCTAGAAGTAGTAATAGTTAGAAATGACATAATCATCGCGCACCCAGAGACAGGAAAAGACAGACTGGATTAATTACGTGTTCAATCTGTACAAAATGCATTTGTCAAATTTATACAACGCCCCAAAATATTTGGGGTGATATAGCGAGTAGGATAAGTAGGCTATTTAAAAAGGATAGAGAAACATGGTATTATACAATAGTTACATGGGGCCATGGCCAGGAAAATGACAAGACATAATACATTGACAGTCGACACGGATTGTCCTGCACCGACATAAACCCATTCACAAATCGTAGAAATCAGCTGAAATGTCGAGTCAGTGAATAAGAGTGCTCTAAGCGAAGAAATTAGAGGCACATACACAGGGGAATTAAACACCTAGGGTGTACAACGGGCTGATTATCTACGTGGACTCACTGTCCGCCTTGGAGTCGGATGACTCACTGCCACTTGACTCAGAAGATGTCTCAGATTCACTTGAACTCGACGATGCACTCAAGCGGTTTGATGACTCTACAAGGGTAAATACTGCATTAAATCAGGAAACACAAATTACTATTTTTTCTTCCCGCCTGGGTAGCATGGTACGCACCGCCAGGATTCATGTCCATACCACCCATCTCTCGGAGACGACCTTCCAACTCCTCCTCCTTCTTCTTCATCGATTCCTCCCGGGATTTTGCCGACTGTGCTCCAGAAGTGGCCTTCTTGGCATACTTTCGAGTAGACTTTGCTTTCTGTAAAACAGACTTGACGTAACGCTCTAGTTCCCGGAGTGTTGAACTCTGCAGTGTCTCAAAGTCGATCTCAATTTCGTCCGGATTGCAATCACGATGAGACGGTTCGCGCTGCTGAATGATCTGCACAACGCGACCCAACTTTTCACCTGGCAGCTTGTTGATGTCAAGACTTAATTGACGTTTTTCATCATATGTCATAGGACGAGCATTAGCATCGGAAACAAAGTCCTCGTCAACCCCATAGGGTACAACCGCCAAGGCGTTTGGCACCCCAGGAACAGCAGCGGTAGTCTGTGCCGGTACCGCGTTCTGGTAAGTTGATGCATCTTAAAATACAATAAGTGCTTAAAAAAGGCATACTTTGAGACTTTTTTTTGGTCTTCTGTGCATTTTTGGTTTTCCTAAAGGCTAGTTTAAAAGCACAAAACAACATACCTGGCAACATGATCACCAAAGCTCGATAACGCACCGAAACTATGTACAGCTAATTGCCCTAGAACAATGCTCTACCATCACGCGAGAACTTACCTTTCTTGGGCATCTTTACACCTGCCTGTTCAGCTGGAAAGTCTAATACTGTCAAAATTGTGGCAATGTTCGAGCTTAACTTTTGAAGGTCTTCACCAAATTTATTATACTGAGCAACAATGCGTTGATGATCCTTTATAACGGCTTGAATCATAGCATCGCAGGACCGCGAATCTGAAGTGTGAACACCGTCCGCATCGTCATCCACAATCTTTACAAAATTCTCCTCAAAAATTCCTTGCAGCGCTCTACCCAGATCAGAAACGTCGCTTTTTTCTCCGTTGTACTTGTAGCAGTTATCAAACATCAACCTCATATCAGCTGCGAACTCGTTTTTGTTTTGGTAGGCGCCGCTATCCAGCTTCGTACGAATAGTACTAAGATCCATGGGATGGGTTATAATGTCGTGATAGTCATGAAGGCCTAACCTCTCCACATCAACGGGCTTCAAAAACAGCTGGTTATATTGCTGGAAAAAAAAGAACACATGACGGAGACGTAAAGAAACCTACCCTGTACCTCGCAGAGCAAAGATCCTTCAAAAGACTACTGCATTGTTTCAATGATTCACTTAACCTCACTCTTTTCCCGATAACACGTTCCTCCATCTTAGGCTTTTTAGAAACCCTCCGCTCTCGAGATTCATCAATGGATTGGGGGGTAGAGGGAATATCATCAAGGGAGTCAGGTTTCCGCTTAGGGGCTTTTTTATTTACAGTGGAAGAAAGGGGACCTTGATGCTGGTGCATTGAAGCACCCGACGGAGTTGTCGGCGGAACTAGAGACGACCCGTTCAGCTCCTCTGTGTTATTCAAAACTGACATGGAAAAATTGGAATCCGTAGAGAGATTTGACGTCGGAGGAGCATGACCGGCACTCAACTTCTGCGAAGTTAACTCCACTTCCGGATAGGGCAAGTTCTGAAGCTTTTCACGAGCAACACGCTCCAGTTTCATAGCCATGGCGACAACGTCGTCGCCGGGCTTGTTAAATATATAGCAATTACGAAACATAGTGAAAAGATCACGCAAGCACTCTGCCCCATGCCGATAAAATTTCAAATTTAACCGTTGTTTGATAGTGCCAAGATCCATCGGGTGCTTGATTATCTTCGGATAGTCCTAAAGGTGTCAGTTGAAATGATGCCGTACCGGTAGATTCAGTTTATGGTGGTCGACCGGTTTTAGGAAGGGCCACGCTAGTTTGTCTTTCGCAATCACCGCTATCACATTCCTTTTGATATATTCCAGTTGGTTAGTGTTCACCTTCGCAACACGTGACTTAACGCCGGTGGCGTCCATGAGAATAACCGTTCACAAGTATATCTGTGCAGAGAAGGAAAAAACAGACCATTTTCGGAAAAACGCTAACGAAGCGATGCGACCAAATACACTAAGAACGCTACACCTGCAAACGTCACGTCGACTGTCTACTCGAATGTGACCACAGCTATGGAACGTGAATAATACAAAATTAAGAGAGCATATACAGCGCCACCCGACTTTTAACCAAAACAGTGGTAGTGCCAACGTTTTTATTGTTAACAACCAAACAAACATAGACAAACAAAAAGAACAATACCCCGATGCTGTGCGAAATTCAATATGGCAAACGAAACCAACTCAACCGGACCTCCCCCCACTAATTAAAACACCGATCGTAATTTCAGCTATTTATGTATACAAATCATTATACGTTGCTATAAAAAAGTAAAATCTAAACAAAAATTAAAAGCATTATTTGGTAAAGATTTTTACTTGGTGAAGAGGTAAAGTGAAATTCCAAAATTTTAATTTTGTCAAGATAACAAAAAGCAGACTCCGTAGACATGCTAGTCGAACTATGACTCAGGTGTCATTTTGTCAACTAGTGATTTTAATTTGGTGACCGGGGTGCTAAAATATAATGTCCTGTAAGACCATGGTTTCCTTAATTGTTAACTCACTCGGCTGAATCAATGCGGCTAGCATTCATGCAGGCAGTTGAACATAATGACCTATTCATGCTTATAGTGAGTCGTTTGGTTGTCCTTAGAAAAAATATGCTGCACAAGCTTTCACTTGGTTTTTTATTCCTCCGTAATCCATCCACGAGTCCTTTTTATTAGCCAGTAACGCATGTGCATGAGGAGAAAATGCTTGTCCTCACGTACAATATGTCCGTACAGTCTGACACTTCCATAGGGGGGGGGTGGGAGATGTGATAGATAGGGCTGAATACATACATTCGAGAATGGAAAGTGTGTGTAGCGGTTTGACCTTGTGTTCACCCCATGCAAATAAGTACGGACTAAATAATCGTCCTAATAGTAATCGGAATTCGGGATTCGTTTGGCTCGAACACGCGCTTGGAATTTAAGGACTTCGCTTTTCATCATTTGTGCTCATGACTAGACGTTAGTGTAGTGTCCTGAGGCTTCCAATGGGTAGTAGAAGGCATAAGTGGGGTTGAATACATGTATTCCGAAAGCATTAGGAGAAATGGGGCCTGAGCGCGACCCGAAGGCCAGCCCACGTGTACAGAGCCCAGACAAGTCCTAAAGTCCGCCAAACGTCAGATAGTCGCATAAACAAAGCATTACACTGCCCCTCTCTTCCTTTGAGCGACGTCCTCGGCGCTCTCCTTTGGTACACCTCCTGCTCCAGCCATCACAACATATTCGGTACCACAAGAAAGCATTCACAAGCCAACCGCGCCAGTCGACAGACAACGCGAGAGCAAGGAACCGTACCTGATCTTCTCGGA